TTCCTGTATCCTATTTTTTTTTTAAACTTTAGGGTTCATATATATAAATATCATTTTGATATATTTGAAAAATATTGTCATTTTTAAAATTCCTTAACTGTTTTAAAAATTTTGAAATTTCTTGATCTTGAAAATTTGAAATCGGTTGATCCGTGCTCTCGAAATCGTTGACAGAAGTTTGTATTCGTACACACAAACTTACATACATACACGCGCACACGCACAGTCTTTCTTAACTAAGTTTAGAAATGTTCAGAAACCTTTGAAACGTAAATATATTTGTTTTTATTTTTTTGCAATTACTATAACTTACCGTACAGGAAGTTAATATATGCATGTTTATGAAAAATAATAAAATATGTAAATGGTGGTTCAAAATGGTATTTATTTTTGAGGTTTTGGCACTGGCTCCATTTCATATTCGATTTTTCTGCGAATTATATTGAAATATTCACAGCACTATTTATCAAATATCAATTAAACATTTTTTATTAACAACATTAAGAAATAGAAATAAACTTATAACTTATATACATATATTTTGAAAAATGGCAAGTGTAAAACCCTTAAAAAAATAAAATAAACGTACCAAGTTTTGAACGTTCCAAAGTGAATTCCACTCTCAAAAATCTGTATTAATTTAATTTTACCTGTTTTTTATTATTTTGTCATATTTTATTTACTTTATTATTTTATCTTAGGCAGCACAAAACAAATTAGTAATAAATCCAAGATATATTAATTAAATATATTTATTTTATTTATCTATTAATTTATCTCAATAACGATGAGGTGGTATTTAGATTTTTATGATTATCTGTCAGGCTGTTTTTCTGCGGCAAACAGTTGATGAGATGAAAAGACAAAAAACAACAAACAGTTTTTATTAAATTAATTAATATACTGTTTTCTTAAAAAAATCTTTAGTGACATTGAAAATAATAACTGAAAGAGATCAGCTTGGAAAACTATTTGTATTACCCACAGACATTGGAAGTTTTCTGTTAGGTATAAATTATAATCTAATCATTAATTATGTTAAAAGTATCAGGGAAAGTGAAATTGCACTCGTACTGTGTTATATTCTGAGTAATTTTTTTGTCCAATTCTGAGATTTTCAAAATTATTTGGTAGATATGGATTTTTTTAAAACATCTATTGTTTATACTATAAACGAAAACGCAAAATGAAAAATGAAAGAAGCAATAATATATTTGAATCCATTTTTTTTATTGATAACATCGTCCTATCATATCTTTTAAAATAATAATTTTACATTTCACTATTTATTCTTGTTCGATAATAAATAAAATATCGTCCTGACTCAATCTATTTATTCCTCTCATCGAAACCGACATGATGTCCATAAAATGATTTTATTATAAAACGCAAAAACTTCCACAATAGTTCCGAACCCACGCGATGGTCGATAATACGGTGGAGATGAAAGAATATCAGTAATAAAACCGACCGCGACGATTCCGACGGATCAGATCGATGATCGAAACAGGGTTTCCCAACAATTTCGGAAACCGATGACGTATTTTGATTATAGCCATAGCAAAATAATATTCTATACTAATACTACTTATTAGCAAAGTCAGAGTTTTTGTCTCTTTACAATGAATTAAAATGAAATGAACTATGACACGGGTATTTTCATATTTAGTTTTATTACATTGTATTTTATTGTTTGTGATTATTAATAAATTTAGAAGTTGTAAAACGGGAGTATTTTAAGATAAAATATTGGTAATAATGTACATGAAGCATAAATACAACTAAGTGTGGCGTTATATTGGTAATATTGGGGCAATATTTATAATATTGCGCCACGATTAATCAATATTGGGCCATGTTTCATCTAACATTGGGCCAAGATTCATTCAACATTCGGCCACGATTCATCCAACATTCGGCCATTTATTTCTACTGGGTGTTAAGTAAGATAATAAGTACTGGATGTTAAGTAAGATAACAAGATTTTTAATAGATTTGTATCAATATTTATGGTACTTAAATAATATACATATTTTTTGCGCGCTTTGAAGACCTATTAAATTCACTCTAATTTCATGTAACCACTCCAACTTTAGTAAAACATTACAGAAAGTTTATATCATTTTCATATGCAAAACAATATGTACCATTCATAGTTAATTTAGGGTAAAAACTAATTAAAGCCTTTAAAATACATTATGACGAAATACAAATATAATACAATTTGTAACAAGTGTAAATGAGAATAGGTTTATTTTCACTATGCTTGTTACATCATTTAATTTTTTGTATGTAAAATAAGATAATTTTTACGTCAATAAAAGTATCTAACAAAATTAATACTATTTTTTCCTATGCTTTACTATTTTATGTTACTTAAGCATATGGCATCCATCAACGCCTTTTGTTTTACTGTGTTATGTTAAGAGTAAACTTGTCCAAGAATAGTTCTATAAGTCAAATAACCAGTTGAAGGTTTAAAACAATTAGTGATATAAATTATAGCAGGATGTAAGTAGCATTCTGCGTTTCTCCAATTGACCAGTATAACGACTAAAAAAAAATTAAAGAAAAATTTAATAAATATAGGCAATTATTTTTTATGGTTTTTGATACTAGATGTGTGTCATTTAAATTGTACAGAATTTTGTAGTTCATAATTCATATCAGAACTCAAAATACATACCAATAAAAAATCCATAACAATTCCAAACTATGTTTTCTGAACATATGATTAATCACACATTTTTTATTCTCATATCTTAAATGCAAGTATTTTATTTTATTATTATATTTTATCTAACAGGGCTGACTTTTTATTGGTGCAGCATTGCCCGGATTAATAGCTATTTTTACTTACAAATTGCTATCTATATATTCAAGAAAAACACATTTAATACAATTTATCCTATGATTTTATATAAAAGAGACAATGTTGACCTCGGAAGATTTGCTGAAACTTCTTTTATTTATTAAAGTTCTTCAAGTGCTAATAAATGTAGCCCTCCTTGTTTACATTTTGACAAATATAAAATATTAAGTAAAGTTTATAAATCTGATTTATTTTTTAAACTCAATCTTATGTTTCAATTTATTTTCTATTATTTTGGTTTTTGACGTTGAGGGTAGTCTTTTTCAATTATTAAACTTATTTAAAAAACACGGTTCTCAGAAGAAAATTAAGAGCTTCGAAAATCGGTTTTTAGTAGAAAGTACCGGTTTTTAATGTATGAATAAAACTTCATAAAAAGAAATTGCCAAATATAGTCAAATGTATCAGATTAATGAAAACACTGTTGCAAATCGATGGCTGTTCTTCGACTCACTATTATAAAAATTAGTACACACTCAGGTGAAAATATTAGGCATAAACACCAAATAACTAATTATTTTTGAAGTTCTCTAATCCTGATCAATTGTTATTTTTTATGAAATTGATTTATTTAACGCATACTTATAATATCTATAATTGTATAAATTAAATCAATTTATTAAGCAAATTTAATTCCATCTATTTCGAGTTCTTATAATGAATTTTATTTAAGTATAGACGCCAACAGTAATCAGTAGCTACTTGCAGAACACCAAGGAGCGAGCATATGCTTTGGCATAGATTCTAATTGGAATCGCTCATGCTAGTGGTGAAATTCAAAACATTGATGAATTTTTATAATTCAACCACTTATTGTAGGCCTATAATATTTTAGTATGTTATTTTAGACTATGGAATCCTCATACAAAGTTTCAGCAAAATTGTCAAAAAAAATTCCATTATTAGCCAAAACTAATCAACGCAGTTCCAAATCACTATTTTCGAAGAGCTTTTGAATTTTTAAAACGGATTCAAATTTGTGGGCTAAAACGTAGACCAGAAATTTTGCACTTTTATGCTAATTACAAAGAAACGCCTCGGCAGATCGTCGAATGGCTTTTAAATTTTTGAAGTCGGTCCAGCAGTTTTCGAGAAAACATTGACGAAAGGTCAAAAATTAGCTCACAATTTTAAAATAACCTTTAGTTACATCCAACATTTATAAAGTGGTCAATCAACTGACGCAATAAATTATGTGAAAAGTAGAGTCTACAAAAATTGATAGTGTTTGATTTTATTTTAGACTAGAAACTTTACTAACTGTAATTCATATGCCACAGTTTTTCCTTTTAAATACAAAAAATTGTTTACAGAAATTTCAAATTGAAACTTATTAATCTTGCTGTCATAGAATTGATTAATCTATGATAAATAGAACCAAAATAATAAGTAATACTTCACTTTTTTTTCTTTATCATTCTCTATGTTTTCAGTCAGTAATATCCTTTTAAAATTCATAAACTATTTTTGTATTATTATAATTCTTTCCATGTTTGTATTCAATCATCATCTTAGACACAAACTCTCTTCAAAACATGTTTTTCTTTACTAATTTTTCAATGATACAAGTATCTCAAGCTCACCATCTTTGCTGCAAATGAAGTCAGGAGTAAGTTGATCAGGAATTTATTTTAGATCTACATTTGTTATAAAAATAGAACCAAAACTAATTATTGAAAATGCAATCAACAATCATTTAATATTATTTAAAAATTTAATATTTAACTATTTCCATTGCAAGCAGTTTGCGACTACAACAAATTGTAGTAGAAAAAATACGGACAAAGTGACATATGGACAAAATGACAGTGACATTTCAAAATTAATTAGTTTTAGTAATGTTTCCGCTACTGCATAACATGAAGAGAGCCATAATCACAATCCTGTCAGATGTTGGGCGTCATTGTCACATTCTTGTCGCATTAATCAGTTCAAACGTATATCGCTACCTCAATATTTTGATGGTTGTTTTCTCATGTTTCTCATGTCAGTTGACATTGAAGATGATAAGTAGACGGGCACGGTATTGTTTTGTTTCAGTAAAAATAATTTTGATTCATATGGCGTTCGTTTTTGTAATTGAATTTTTTAGTGTTTTTATCGCTCTATGTGCCAAAATTATATCAAAATGATAAACGCACGACTAGTGATTCTTTTTGCATCAGTCGTATTACCGATTTCAATAATGGCGGATGCCCAGGAGTTATCTACGAGTATCAATCAGTTTGCTGGAAACCTGTACAGCACGGTTGCTTATGACAACGAAGACAACCTTATCATGTCCCCACTGTCTGTACAAACTTCTCTGTCGCTGGTATTAATGGGAGCTTGTGGTAATACTGCCACACAAATAGCTACTGCTTTGCGTCAGCCTCAATCAAAAGAACAAATCCAAGATGACTATCATGCATTGATGAACACTCTTAATACACAAAAAGGTGTAATTCTGGAAATTGCCAATAAAGTTTATGTTATGGAAGGCTATAGATTGAAACCCGCCTTCAAGGAAATTGCCGCCAACAAATTCTTAGCTGGAGCAGAAAACTTGAACTTTGCAGAAAATGCTGAAAGTGCTAGGGTTATCAATACTTGGGTTGAAAAAAAAACTCATCACAAAATTCTTCATTTGATCAAAGCCGGTGATATCGATCAGAATGCAAGAATGGTTCTTGTGAATGCATTGTACTTCAAAGGCCTCTGGGAGAAACAATTCGAAATTGAAAATACCCAAGATAAACCTTTCTATGTTACTGAAACAGAGACAAAGAATGTAAGTATGATGCATATTAAGAATAAATTCCGTTATGGCGAATTTGAACAATTAGATGCAAAGGCTGTAGAATTGCCCTACAGAAGCTCAGATTTGGCCATGTTAATCATTCTGCCAAATAGCAAAACTGGTCTGTCTGCTCTTGAAGACAAGTTACAGGATGTTGATTTGCATAACTTGACTAGACGCATGTACGCTGTTGAAGTTATTTTGGATCTGCCTAAATTCAAGATTGAATCTGAGATAGATTTGAATGAACCTCTCAAAAAGTTGGGTATGTCTGATATTTTCGTTCCTGAAAAAGCTAACTTCAAAGGATTACTTAAAGAAGCTGATGAGTTGCTATGTATTTCTAAAGTAATACAAAAAGCTTTCATTGAAGTAAATGAAGAAGGTGCTGAAGCCGCAGCTGCCACAAGTGTTCGTTTAGTTTATAACACAGCTCCAAGATGTTTTCACCAAGAACCAAAATTCTTTTATGCCGATAGGCCTTTTTATTTCACTGTAATGCACAGGCGAACAACGTCTCTGTTATCTGGTCGAGCATGCTCGCCTTAGATCTAATTGAATCTCTGGATTAATGAAGTGATTTTTCTATAATATTTTTCAATAGTTATTAGCAACATAAGTTTTTTTTAGTATGTGATGTAAATCGTCTGTTGTAGTTTTCACTTTCTATGAATGTAATCACCAAATAATGTTGTAGTTTATGCAATAAAAATTTTAATTGTGAAAATTACTAAAATGTTTTTGGTGACTTATTTACTGTTATTTTTAATTATTTGTATTAAAATCAATGAACTTACATCAATATTAGTGATTTCGATCAATTTCATTGCAATTATCTGGTGTTTTATACAATTTTGATTATTCATTCATTTTTGTTCACTTTCTGAGAAAATGACATACTTATGCAATGAACAAAATGAAATAGTACTAGTTGACCAAAACTACAGTGTAGTTCATTCGAGGTCAAGAAAAAATAAAAATGAAGCCTATCAGAGGTGATTCTAAAAACAAACCAAATCCACCGGTTAAAAAATTTGCATTGCATTTATAAGAAAGCCTCTTTTGCTCTTCTGGTGAGCCCGGCAAAGGTTGGTTACGATGTATGACCTGCACCCTTTCCAAAAGACGACCAAATGATTTCACTAATGAGTTTTACTAATATGCATAGAAAATTATTATCAATGAAATTGTATAGTAAATAATTTCATTTGAACACTGCTTTTAATCACTCCAAATTTTCTGTTAAATTTTTTGTTTGGTTTTGGTTTTTGAATTATTTGAGCAAATAGTTTTTCTATGAAAACTAGAATCCGGTTAAAGCCGGTTTTGTGGAAAAATTCTATTTGAAAGCCGGTTTTCTAAAATATCGATTTTTAAACACACATGCTTTTGCCAATTATCTTAAGACTTCCTTAATAATGACATAAAGTTTGTAAATCTAATTTAAAAAGTAATTTTTTACGAATCTAATAAAAAATAAAAATTTTAAACCTACTTTATATACAACATATATCATTCTCTTCAATCTTCTAATAAATCTAAATCTTGATATCGACTCCTTCGTTCGCATGCTGTTTTAATTTTCTCCTTTCTATTTTGGGAATATGTGGTTTCAACAACCGCACAATGGGTATCTATTTGCGTACGGACAAATAGTGAAATAGGAAAATATAGCAGAATGCACAAAATAGATCACTGCCAATAAACCTACTTTCCGGGAGAAATATGCTTTTCATAAAACCAACAGACTCGACTCGCCCAGAATCGAGAGAATAGACCACTGAAATGGAGGTGTATAAGTAGGGGAAATACGGATAAAATGGTATACATGGAAAAAATGACACAGTGGCCTTATTTAAAAATTTGATAGTTGTAGTAACGATTACGCGAATGTATAACACGAAAAAAGGCTATAATCACAACCCTGTCAGATGTTGAGCGTCATTGTCGCGAAGTACTACTGGGTAGTTCATTGGAGGTCAAGAAAAAATAAAATTGATACCTGTCAAAGGTGATTGGCTTCTAGTTTCTACTCTAACTACTTCTAAAATCAGATTAAAGGATTCGCAAATAAAAAGAATAGGCTGTTCATGTGAAACCCTATTGTTCTATTTTGAGGTAACCAAATGTATGGTTTGTTTCTTTTGCACTAATGGGTCATGTTCTGATATCCAAAAAAATCCAAACAATTTATTCACCAATAAAATTAGAATCCCAGTATATTTCTACCTTATTATGGCATTTTATCCATACTGTATGGACTAAATGGTCTTTGCAATTTTTTGGATTTTTCCCTAATGAATATGCTATTATAGTTCCCATATAATTAAAAGTCTATGTTACTGGTAGTCAATAAACAAAAGATGACTAAAAACCATTAAAACTGATAATAATATCATTAAATAAATTAATATCATTCAAAAACAAAGCACTATGCAATTTTGTCCGTACTTCCCCTACCTTGCATAAAAGTGACGTATTTACTTTGGCTTAATAATGAAACTAGTGGTGTGCTCTTATGGCATATTGTTGAATATCAGATGTAATAAAAATCTATACATAATATATTGTTATTAACTATCCCAAAAAAGTTAGGTTTCACCAGAAAATCGGATATACTGGTTTTATGATTTCTGTCATTCACTGTTATAATAACGATGAAATATTTTTAATCAAGATTCAGTTGATTAAGAAATGAAAATAAAAAGTATATCATTTTACCATATCAAATATCTTATATAAATGGATTAAACTGAAGCAAAAAATAGCAGCAATTAAAAATCAATTGAAAATAACTTCATCGATTCTTGCTCATTATCAGCGTCTAATTTCTTTCCATAATGTTTAACATTATTAATTTGAATTTCTTAATAATCTTATACTAAACCAACATGTAATGAGAACACAGAAAGTGGAACATATTTTTTTTTTATTATAAAAACCTTCTAATTCTTTTCATACTCATATATATTAAATTTGGAGTAACCGTTTTTGATAAATCGCGGATAAAAGATGACATTTTGGCCCACATACACATATACTCATACTTCTTCCAATTTTGGTGTCAAAGGATTCAGATTGTCTTTTTTTTACTCAAAACCAAGATATTTAATTTTTAAAGTTCGCTTATACGGTTCAAGCAAGTTTCAAAATTTTCAGAAATTTTTTTTTTCAAAATTTTCAAAAATATACGAAGTTTTATACTTCAAATATGAATTCTATATTTACAATTCATTTTAAAAATGTATATATTTCAAATGCTTTATTCTAATCGTAAGAAACTTATCTTCAGATGAATTCATTTGGCATCTTTTGCTAATGTAAACAATCTTAAGTGTTTTGAGCGATAAGATCGTCACTGTATATTATATGAACAATAAAATATGTATATAGTGATTATAATTATCTATTTGATATTATAAAATATCTATAACTATCTAATCTATTTCGAAACAATTGTTAGTAATCATTTATTATTTGATTACTGATTTTTTCCCTCGAATACTAAATTCTGGTACGGGAAGTTCCAGCAATTTTTCGTAAGCACGATGCCATAGACCACTAGTTGTCTATGTTTTTGGGAGTACCACTCAACCGATTTTAATGACTGTAAAATCAATCGATTCCTACTGATAGGGTTGATGCTGATTAGTTTTTGGGAAAGAGTGCAGAAAATGGAAACTTGGTTTTTGCGAGAACCGGCCATCCGATTAGAATGATTCAAATAATATTCAACTTGCAATAATGGTAAGAAGTGGTGATTAGTTTTGGGCAAAAACAGGTCCAACAGCAAGATACGAAGCTAAATGTGTAAAAAATGGCAGTTTTTGAGAGAACGAAGCATGCAATTTGAATGATTCAAAAAACTTTACTTGTGTTAACGGTTTTGGGAGAAACAAAAAAAATATTTCAAAATTTCGAAAAAAAATCTTTAATTTACAAAAAATGTTTTTTTTTGCATATAGAATATAATTCAAACTTTCATTTTGAATTCAGCAAAAATACTTGATTCAGTTTATATTAGGTTGTCAAATATCTCCCTTCCGCCTATTTGTATGTAACCAACAGCAAAAAAGCGGAAGGGAGATATTTGACAACCTAATATAATTCTTGGAATTATAAGACGAGATTCTTCATTCTAACTCCTCTTCGAAAGGGATCATTAAGTTTTGTTTATTAATTTTTCCTGTAAAATCTTATATTTTGTCTTTAATATACAAATAATGAAGGTTACAGTATTTATAATAATATATTTAAAAACATTTAATATTCTGCGAATATTTTATTACAGTACGGGAAGTTCCAGCAATTTGCCTCAAGACACGATGCCATACACCAATAATTTGCATTATATATATTTGCTTCCATAAATACCATTTGCTCAACAATTCCTAATCCATATTTAATTTAAAAATATGAACTACTAAAAAAAACTCCGTCCCTTGTTCGTACCGAGATCGCGTGAGTAATAATCCGTCACACTATTTGTCGGTTCTTTTTCGCCATTTCTGGCTTTTGTTCCATTCTGTTCTGTTCGGTGCCTAGTTTTACATTGACGTGATTCGAAACAAACGACCTTCGTAACATTTTTTTCACTTCCTGACTTTTATGCATAATAAACCCTTCACAACCGCACATTAAATAATATAATACACCTGAGTAATCAGCAGCCCGACAGGGTGGTTACAGGTTACACCTGAGCGAACCCGCAATTTCATTCTGTAGATGGACGCTGAGAAAAACTGAGCCAATTTGGGGATATTGGGTGAATTTAGTTACATAACTTATAGACCTACTATGGTATGTTTGCTGGATTTTCCTGCTAAAAATAATATTGCATTTATTTTTCTTTTGGAACTCTATCAGAGAAATTTCAGGTTCGAACCCACTTTGAGCAGCCTGTTGTCAAGCAGTAGTGACAACGGTTTTCACTTAGAAGTATTGATAGCAAAATGTTTCGAAGTGAAATTGCTGCATGAATAAAATGTTTGCCCTATTACAGAAATTGTAATAATAATTCATCACATTGGCATGGGACAACTATTTGAGTTGCCAAATGTGGAACAGAAAAGTTAATTAAGCCGGATAGCTTCTAGAACTGTCAAGTCATATTGCTTTTCAAAATCACTTTAACTTAGTGGTGCATGGCATCGTGCTGTATTGTAAAATCGCTGCAACTTTAACTTTTTCAAAAAAGATTAAAATTTCTTTTACAACTTTAAGATAATTTATGACTATGATGTGCATATGTCTAATGATCATTTATGACCGCCAAATGTAATATTTTTTTCACTTTTGTCATGTTCAAATTTTGTCGTGGCCAAATGTAATATTTTTTCACTCATGTCATCTCCAAAACCGATAGACTTACCTATCCAAAAATTGTTTCGTTCAGAGTCGTCTTGTCAAATCGTCTTTTTATGACCCTGTCGTTATGCAATTGCAAAAACAACCCCTTAGCAAATCTTCTTTCATTTACGTTCTCTTCAAAATGTAAAATTTTTGGGTTAAAAATATCTATGTTATCGTTTAAATTATTTATATGTTCG